TAAGCTGCAGCCTTCAAAATGCAGGAAAAAATCTGCGGCTTATAGTCCGGAATGATAATCAGAATTTTGACATCATTCTAAAAGCGGCTACTTGCCACGAGCTTAGAGCATAGAAGTTATTGGTCGTAAAAATAATAATAGGTTCAATTCCACTTTGTCGACCTTCTTTAGTCGACTCTGGCTATGACTATTTAAGTATCGTACAAATATTCAATTAAATGTATTCTTGTATAGCTCTAAATCCCAACAGTTTTTCTCTGAGGACTTTAGACAATCTATGAATCCGCCAACACAGATCAGAGAATCAAACTGTTCAAACAATAAAACAGAAGACGCATTGGTATTGATACAAAAGTGTTGATGAATGTAAAATAGAGATTCTGCTGCAGTTTTTCCTGTATTTACAAGACACAAAGCTCACATCCTTCTTTATTTATAACCTTTTCATCGTGCTCTGAAAGCAACAATTTACCCACACGAGCTTTGGTGGCGGCTGCTTTGCTCCCTGGCTTGATGATTTTTGATTTTTGACCTCTGGAGACTCAGACTCTGCACAAAAGATGCTGTTGTTAAAATGATCAGATCCAGTTGTCTAGACATGACAATTTATCCAGAGCAAAACTTTCTCAAATTATTTTAATTGCTTGTTTTCCTCAGGACAAAATGGCAGAAAGAACTTCAGAAAGACAGTGTTGTAAATTATATTTGATATCTATTTTCCCCAATTGCTGGTTATCAAAATGTTACGCATCACTGCAATAAGGATGTCCTTGCCTGGAATGTTCCACACATCTTCAATCCAATCCACCTTATTTATATAGCACATTTTATAAAACAAGTTTCCAAAGTGCTGCACAGATCTTATCTTAAGGTTTATCTTATCTTATCTTATATGTATGTAATTATTTCTCAAAAAATGAAATGCTTTCAAGAGGATGCATTATGATTGCCTCGTATCTGTTCTGTATCTCAAGAATACTTTTCTAGAGGGTGATTAAAAAATATTATGACATTTTTATTTTCCAATACAACACTTTTAAACTGCAACCCCATGTGTTTTACAAAGACTGTAACAAACGGACTCAGAACGATCCATTTACAAGGAGCAAAATGGGAGAAAGCTGCTTCTCCCATCATAGAGCAAGAATTTTGTCTTTATTTTTTTGCAAAATTCAATGATGTTATTAGTGTTTTAGTGAACTGTCAAATCAATGTTTACCGTTTCAATGTCATCAGTCCTTCACTGTCACTCAGAGCGGTGTGAAAAATACATTTGAGCCAGTGGCAACATTCCGAGTCAGATCAGAACCTGCTCCACCTGCCACACACACCAATCTCCGCGGCACTTTTCTACATTTTACACTTATCAGCCAAAGCAAGCGTGAACACTAAGGACCAGATGGCCTCCTCCTCCTCCTCTCCTCTCCCCGATATTTTGCGCCTTCCCTCTTCGCAGCTTACCTTCCTGGCATGTGTGTTACTGTGTGTGGGTGAGTATAGTGCCCGTAGCCAAACGGACTGATGCGCGCTGACATTTTCTGTGGCAGTATGAGCTCTCCATCTCCTCCCGCCTGTCAGCTCCGTCCGTTCTTGTTCGACACTGGGGCCCGTGGACACCGAGGGGAAGACACACGCACTTCTACTGGGGACTATGGCTGTCAGGAAAGCCGTCAAACTTGCTCCATCACCGTCAAAGGGATGAGCTTATGAGACGTGACAGGAAGGAAGCAAACTACAGCTGGAGCTACACTCACCAGGCTATTTGTGTGTCCAAGATGTTAGGTGGTTACTTTTCTTTTTGTGAAGGGGTTTCTGTCTCGCACTATCCATACACTCCAAGACATATAGACGCAGTGACTAGTGACATCCCGCACACGTGATCATGCACTGAGGACTGGTGCAGAAGCCAGCGCTGTTTAGTGTTTCACTTTGAAATGTCCTGAAAATGTAAGGTACAATTTAAATAAAATGTATTATTATTATTATCATTTAGTGTTTAACAGTTGGGTGAAGGCTTAGGTTATCACATAAAGTGCTAAGGGCTGCAAAGGCAGAAAGACTGATCCTGCCAGATGTCAGCAGCTAAGCACAGTAGTAAGCAGACCCTGGTTACCACTCTTATGGGGGACCTCTGGGAACACCCACATTGCTTAGCATGAGTCTGGTGTGTGTGTGCGTGTCTGTGTGTGTGTGTCCCCGCACAGGCCTTTCTGTATCGTCTGTTCCCTGTGTCTGTAGATTTCCTCTGGGCTCTGGTTTCCTATACCACTAAAAACATGTACAATAGTTCAGGATGAATGAGTGTGTGCTTAAGTGCGACTTAAGGACAACAGATGCTAATTATCTCAAGGCTATTATCTGGTGTATTTACAACTCTGTTCATCAATACACCCTGTCCCAGCCACATAAACAAATACAAATTAATAGTTCAGTCTACCCCAGGACAGCTGTGGCTTCATTAGTAGTTTACCACGATGCGTGTATGGAGGGAATGAATAATGTGAAGCATGAGTCCAGAAACACTCAATATGGAAGACATGGGTTTTTTTGTGTGTGAAAGGAACAATGGTCCATCTGCCCGAACTTAGGGAGCCGAAATCTTATGATCAACTTTTCTCTCTTCAGTCATTTAGATGCACACACAATTGCAGCTGATGTGTTTTATTCATGTTACAACAGTAGAGTATCTTAGACGACTGCTTCATCAGCTATTGAATGAATTACATTATCTCCCAGGCCACAGTGAAGACATTCTGATCCAAAACTATTTCTTTATACCTGCCGCTTTGTGCTTCTGTAAACACAAAAGCAAGCAGCAGATTTTCTTTCCATTCAAGCCAAGATTCTTATAATTCCATCTATTAATTGTCACATAATGTAAAAAAAAAATGCTTTTTATAATGTTTTAACATGAGGGGATTATAATTTCTGTAACGATCACATGCAACAGACATGAATAAGTATTGGTTGGAGGTGAAACAGACCATTTATACATCTATACGTTCTGTCAAGCCCCCAGTTTCCACCACCTCTGCCGATACATGGATTTCCTATGGACATTATTCTCTAGTAAAAATGCTGTTGCAGCCATTGCACTCATAAAATCTGTCAAAAGTGGTGTGAGACAAGCTCGCCCACCTCGTCAAACCGCTCCAACTTCAGGAAGTGACAGGAAGAAACAAGTCCAAGGAAAAGGAGTAGATCCGTAGCTAGCGGCGGGAATAGCAGGACTTATCACCAGGCTGCTAATGCATTTTATATAGCCATATCTTTGGGGCATTTAGCAAGGACCAGTCTGCCCTTGTCGTGAGAAAACCACTCAAGTTTAATACCAATTCATTGCAGTGTGAGATGGAATACATTCACCCCGTGTAATGACAGATACAGCTTTCTCCTCGTATGTGCCTTCAAGTGAGTTTTTTTCTGCACATATCGTTAAAAAAAACGCCTTCCTCGAGTTCAGAGATGCTTCGAATTTTACGATTAATTTGAGATTGTACAACCGGCTGAACAAACTAGCAGCCAAAATAGCATGGCTTTAAAGTGAAATGCAAAAATTCAAGCTCAAACACATCAAAGGCTGTGTCTAAAATTATTTAATGCTAAAAAACAACATGTCTAAACGTGGGGTGTCTCTGAAGTTATGCCAAAAGATTGCACCCTCTATGTTTTTTCCCAGCTGAAAATGATGCCTTTTAACATGAAAAAACAAATAATGAGTGCATTTTTTAACTATCAGGCTTCTCCTATATTTACAAAATCCTTCATTTAAGATCATACATTGATTTATATGCCTTTTTCTACTGGTTTTTGGATTCCCCACAACACACACACCTGACCAAGACTCGATTATTTTTCTAATGACTGAAAATTCCCAAAAGTGAGATGATTTTCTGCTTGTCATTTATAGATATTTCAAAACATATTCAGTACATATACCTTTTTGAAGTTTTTATCTATTGCAAGACCATTATAATTAGTTCACAATTCAGAGCTCAGGGAGTGCTTTTACAATAGAATTTTCTATTATGTAAGTCACGAGCGATTCCCGCCGAGTTTCCATTGGTGCTGGATATGGATCTAAAATGAATGTTCTGTCTTCCCTTTGAAACGTGCTGCACCGTGGAGCGGAACATTATTTATTCAATCTAATTTCACATCCCCTTTTGCAGTCATTTTCCTGTTTATTTGGCCTGTGGCTCTGACCCACTCCTCTCCTCTCTGCTCAAATGTTTCATGATGCAAACTGCTGTAATGACGGTGACTCTGTGGGGAAACTGTTTTGTGTTAGTTAGGGCTGCACAATTTAGCAAAATATCAAATTAAGATATTTCTGACCAACATAGTGCTGTGTGACATTTTCATTTTCCTGTATGTTTTAAAAATAAAAGTAACAATAAGCTTTATTTGAAAACGATTACTTTGCGTAATACATGTTTATGGCGTTTTAACCTATAGTATAACCATGTTTTCTAGTAGAAATTATTCACTGCAAATGTTTTAAACTATATATAGAAGCTAGAGCTGGGAATTTCTGGGCCCCTCACAATACAATATAAAATACATGACTCATGATACAACGTTATCAGTATTTGCTGCCATCATTAATATATTACTCATATAATTGTCAACAATGTATTGCATAGTATTACCAATCCAAATGTTTGTATTTGTGGTTCTTTTTCCATTTTTCCATTATTGAGTTTTTTTGAACAAACTATTACTTTTATTGAACATGAGCGTGAATCTTATTTGTTGTTTTTTATTGACCTAAATGAGTACAAGTTGTGCTTCAAAATAAACAGAAATGAAGAAGTATTGTTGACTAATTTACAGATTTATTTTTGATATCTAGTTTTGGGTTGAATCTTTAGAGTAACAAACATGGTTGTTTTCCCTTTTTTTTTTTTTTTTAATAGTAGCAGTTGATTGTAAGTAATTGTGCAGCTCTAAATACAGGCCTTTTAATACTTTTCTTATTTGTTTTATGTACTTTATAGATACTGAGCAACAGAAAGGGACTGCTTCCAGAGCCAAACATAGCCCAGCTGCTGACCAGTATGACCAACCCTGCGGCCCTGCAGATCCTCATGAGGCCGTACCACACTGGGAAAAGAGGAGGTAAAGGTAAAGTATTTTGTTTAAATCTTTTCATTGTGTTTTTTTTTTGTACAATTTGTACAAGCGAACTATGACAAAAATGATAATTCCTGGATTAATAACTATCTATCTTTCTGGAGAATCTTCCCAAGTTTTGTCTTTTCCAATGAATCATACATTTACCACCAGAGAGTTTATTTATACAGAGCTTTTCACAGAGAAACTGCTCAGTCACAAAGTCGCTTCACGATTGTGTTTATCATTCTTTCACTCGTACGTTTATTTATACGTTTATTGTCCTGGTAGTGAAATTTATCCTGCATTTGACCCATTAGTTTAAGCTTCACAGCAAGAAGGTCCATGGACACCCCAGAGTCATACTAGGCTCTTTAGGGAAGGAACAAGATACATGCCACTTTTGCACCTCGTATTCCCAACCCCCTTTGGGCTCGTCCAAACTCTCAGCTCTAACCAGGTTTGATTGTCATACTGGATCTTTTTGTGTTTATTGCTCTACAAAATAATTTAGCTAAAGTGGGCAGTAAAAAATAAGGTTAAAAAGAAATGGCAAAAGGAATACTGAATGTTTGTTTGAATGTTTGAATGTTTATTTGAACATAGAATAAAAATGAAAACAGAGTAAGACAAACGACGATCAATACAAGACAAGAACAAAAAAATAAAAAAATAAAAAAATAACATATTCATGTTCAAAATAAGTATGAAGAAGCCAAAGCCTATTAAATCCTACAAGTTTTCCCTATGTTAATTTAATATATTGAAATAAGTTATACATACATACATACACACACACGCATACATATGTAAGCCCACACAAGAATACACATACACACAAATTGGTTCAACAGGAGACACCCCCCAAATCCCTCATATTTTTCATTGTATTAAATGTGTATCAATGAGTGACCACAACCACACATTTGTTTACATCCACCAAATTCCTTGACGTTGCCTTGTACATATCCATTACTTACAGCCTCCGTAACAATTGTCCTCACACTCCAAAGCTCTTATTTAATCTCCTGGTCCGCCTCAGTTTGCACACTGATCCAGTCTTTTAGCGCAATCACCTCGTCGTTATTTGATGAATGGCTCATCAGGTATTAAAATCAAAGCTGGAGACATTAGCAGAACAAATGAGAAGAGGAAGCAGCCGCGATCGAGGATGGTGGGGGAGCTCTTAAAAGAACGTACGCACAATTAAGGTCTAAAAATAGGAGCTTGATTAAATGTCAAATCCTCTCTTTACCTATTCTGGAGCAAGTTTTTATTAGCCGTTGTGGTACATATATTCTCATGGAACAGCAGAGACAATGTCGTTAAAGCAACAGGTGGTGAAACTCAACTTGGACAGTTTCTTTCTAAGGAATGCATACAAACATGGGACTAAATAAAAACAAAACATAATAAAAAGTTTGTATAAATATATTTGAAACAATGATAGGGTTGTGTTCGGACTTCGGTGGTGGTCGGCGTCAGGTCCCAGATCAGCCTTTACTGTGTTCTTAAGATTGTTCTTCACAAATTTCACATTGGTCCTAGCTCTGAAATAATGAATGGTTTATGGTTCATTGCTGGTATAATACATTAAGTCATGGGAAACCAGAAGAAATATGTAAATCCCAAGCCCTGGAAGTTTAAAAGTGGAATTGGTTTTGGAAAAGTTAAAGACCCAAATAGTATTCAGATTTAGTAATATATTAAGGACAGCATTTGTGCATTTTGAAAAACTTGCATGAAAATAACATAGTTTTAAACCTTAAAGTGTAGAAATCCAGCTTCAATGAAAGTCTTTAATGATCATGGAAATGTTTTATATGTTATTGTTTGTTGCCAGTGTCCTGTCTCCATGTCCAAGGTAGAGTTTGCTACTTCAATTCTATTTCATATAGAATGACAATGTAGTATCATCCTTAATAAGTATTTTTCATAATACATATATCTTAAACTGTCACCATCAGTGATATCTTCTGGAAAATAGTTAGACCACTGGGGAGGGGCCTCAGCCGTCTATCAAGCATTATAATTCATTGCATCCAATTAGGCACATGTGGGGGCGGGTCTAACTGGCCCTTCACAATCTGACCTGACTACAGTAGATAACTGACCTTCACTTGAAGCACCCAAACCAGCTCAATACAACTGAAAAGAGAACTGGCAACCCAAATGGGAGAATCATGTGATAATAATGTTGCTTTCTCATTGGATAACCAGCTTGAAAACCTTTGTATTAAATGTTAGCATAAATTAGATGGCCATTATGTCTTTTCTGTCTTATACCACGTAAGAATAAATACACATACACATTTAGACCAGAGAAGGCCTAATATTATTTGTACATTTTGAGCTTGTCTTTGGGAACATAGACAACAGATGGAGAGGCAGTATATAACAAGGATATATTCATAAAACAATGTGTGCCATCTGTGGTTAAGAGAGAAATATTTGAAATGCCTTTTTATCATGTAAAATATGAGATTGTTGCGTACCCTGAATCTGTGTTGGATGGGGCTTGAATTTGATTTCTGTATCTTGGTGGGTGTGTCCTGGCGATAGAAACACATTCAGTTTTGTTCAGTGAATTCCACTTTGACATTTTGCTTGAGATGTTATGCTCTGTACATTCCAGATATCACTCTTCAACATTAATAAGTTGTGTTTTTTCTTCTACGAATAGCAGTTGTTTTGGAGCTGTGTTTCAGCTTTGGGCTTATTATGAGTGTGATGTTTTTGTTTGCTGCGAGGCGTTTACTGGTACTGTGTGAAAGACGGATAGATTTTGTATTTGATTTTCAGCCAGAAACCTTACCTCCTTCGGCCGAACATTTGATTGACGTCTTGGTAGAAAGATATTGTTGTACTTTAATTTCATGTAGTATGTATTTAAAGGGACAGTACATACTAAAGGCAGTACAATGTATATAGGATTATAAATATGCAGTCAGTGCCAATTTTCATCCCGTACATTATATTTCAGAATAAAAATAAAAAAATGAATTAATGACATTCTGAAATTTTTCTGTCCCTGTTGATAGCATAGTGGTTGAAATTTGCGCTCTGACTCACGCAGATGGGGTATGATTTCAGGCCAGCCACTTTTGTGTTCGGGTTAGGGTTAATTGGTTGGAAATTGTTTTATGCTCTATTTACATTATTACTGTTTCATAACTGTGATAAGTGTAACAGTATGAAAATACACACTCAATATCAACTCTAGAGCGCCATGTATGGGAGGCTCGAACCCAAACATGTTCCAATCTGCACCAAAGTCGCAAGGTCTAATCTTTACACAAAAAATATTGCGTTATGCCGAGGGTGCATGTCCTATGGTTCACCACCAGGGGCGCACTGGATCCGTTAACTTAACTTTTTTGTGCATAATCCCGGTCCGACCCGGCTGCAAATTCATCTGCAAGTACACTGTATGATGCCTATGGGACTGGAGCCCGGGAGGTGGTTGCGAGGTGGCGAGGGCTTTCATCGCTGCTTGCGGCTTTAATTTTATTTTTGCTTTGTTTTATTGTACTTTTTTGGCACAAGGGGAGCATAGTGGGAAAAAATGATAAAAGTAAAATAAAATGTATCTTGTTATGTTGTATGTATTATGGGAAAGAGGTGTGAACTAATCCTTGCCGATTCATGCTCTGACCTTATGTGATCGTCTAGGAAAGTTTGGACATCACAGCGGCCTGCCTTTCCTCAGACCACCCCTCACCACTGCACTGCTCACACTGGGGAAAGCCCACCAGGTGAGACCCTCTTCAGATTCACATTCATTTATTCGCCATTTGCAGTAAAACCACATAAAAAGTCACCAGCGGGCACAAGACAAGCATATAATTAAAACAAGGTTAAAAGAACAGGAATAAAACAAGTTAAAAAGTGCAGGTAATAATTATCACAGGTAAAATGATCAACAAAAACAGTTTCAACACCAGATTCAGATTCATTTATTTGCCATTTGCAGTAAAAAACCACATTGGAAAAACTGTGCAAGACTACCCCAGTGTGCACCAGACAGAGAAGACGACACACACCAGAGCTCTTGCCATGGCGCCATCTTTACGGCGACAATACCAGATTATTAAAGTGCTTTATTTAAACTGTTTGTGGAAAGAAGTTGTTAGCAAAACGAGATGTCCTACATCTCAGCGAACGACATCTTCTGCCAGAGGGAAGAAGCTGGAACATGGCCAGAAGAGTCATTGATTATTGTAAGAGCCCGGTTTAAGAGTCTGGATTCATAAAGAAGTGTGGTTTGATGTCACCAAACCACACAGTCACAGAACCAACAAACTTTCAAAGGTGCAGCGATAAAAGTTAAGCAGAATCTTAGAGTTAGTGGTAAATTCATGTTTGTGGTAAAAACACTCACAGACTTTTCCACTGACCTTGTGCCTCCAGTCTGTTAAAAGCACAGACAATGTTTCCTGTTTAATCCTTCTCCTGAACAATGAAGAATAAAACCAGAAAAGATACTTGTAGATCTACTTCCCAAGAGGCACAGGCCCGTTCCTTTTTTCAACAGCAGAGGCCACATCAAAAGTAAAACGTGTTGTCTCACAGAAGGGGAAAAACACATTTAAAAACAGTGAAACAATTAGAGCTGCAGCCTAAAGGAAAAGTCATAGCTCTGTGTTAAACCACAAAGAATAAACCATAGATTGTCTTAATGGTTGAATGAAAATATAAACTTCGACACCAACTGGCTTGTGCCGTTGGTTTGCTCAAATATGAGAATACATTCTTACAATAATAGCAAATTTTGAATGACAAAACGCTCTGACCTTTGAGAGCTTCCAGTTTTATATTCATGAGCTTTATCAGCACAAACACAAAAGAGAAATTCAAATTGATGAGATATTTTCTGGTTTTCACAAAAAACTCCTCAATCCAAGAGTTCCACACAGTAATCACTTTGCATTGGTGGCTATTCTATGTGAATATTAATAGTTTATGGCTTTGGAAAATGATTTTAAAATTGATTCTACGGTGAATGTTCTGTATTTGAACTCAATGCAAAATCTGAATATTGAGAACTGGTAAATCATTTTGAATTTATAGATTCTACAAAACAGATTTAATAGATATCCTGAAAGTATAGATATTATAATCAGCAAAGGGAGATATTCATACTCTTATTAGTAAACTCCACACTGAATGATTAAATTGGAGAAGACTGCCTTATTCTTCACAAAACTTCCAAAATTCACTCATAATACAATAGCTTAGAATGTATTTGATTGGTTGTTTTAGAAGTAGTTTGATCAGGACTAATGCAAAATGTTGTGGTTCCATAATATGTTTACATATGTTTTTACAAATGACACTTGATACTGATGCATTGTGACCTTCGTCTTGTATGAATAATTACCTTAGCCAGGGGGTTATGTTGTCATCATTTTGGTGTGTAAGTTGGCAACTGTAAATGCTGATTCTAAACTAAAGTTGAACTTGGACAAAACACACACAAACAGACATAAGTTTAGAATGTCTTTATACCTATACGTACCTATACATTTCCAAAGAGAAACGACTTTCAGAGGACAGTGTTCAGCACAATCTCATCCAGAGCAACTCTGACCCAGGCCAGCAGCGAGGATCATAGGACAAGGGACACATTCTCTTGTCAATCATATTCATACAAGTTCAGAGGAATCAGCAGGACAAAGGAACAATGGCACAAGTCGCCCCTGTTTCGCATGTAAAGTAACCCTCCTCTTTACATGTACATAGTAAACCAAAAGCCCAAACTTCAAACAAAGGCAAAACTGATGAACATAAGCTTTCAAAAAGCCATATGAGGTGCCTATAGATAAAACTCTATGTAAACATAATTCATGAAAACGATAACCTAAAAACAAAATTTTCTTAACAGCAACATAGCATGATTTGTATTTTTCTTGATTTTTACTACCTGAGATGTTGCTGCAGTAAAGTGTTCATGGAGCAGAGAGGATTCATGGTCCAAACCAAACAGATCAGGTGAAAAACCACTGGATGAATGCCAACTTTTTAAAAATGCTAATAAATCATTTGGCTTTCTACTTTGGACGAGAGCAGAGAAAATGGTCTGAATCAAGCGGCTACTCCACCTCTGCTGCTGTGACCTGTCCTGCTCCACCCAGAGGCTACTCCACCTCTGCTGCTGTGAGCCGTCCTGCTCCACCCAGAGGCTACTCCACCTCTGCTGCTGTGAGCCGTCCTGCTCCACCCAGAGGCTATTCCACCTCTGCTGCTGTGACCTGAAGGGCTGTTGCTGATTATTACTATCGTTCGCTTTTTAGAATGATCAATTTTATTTTTTATTTTTGCTACTACTGGACACCTGAATTTTTCCTACGGGAATCAATAAAGTATCTATCTATCTGTCTGTCTGTCTGTCTGTCTCTCTGTCTGTCTGTAACTATCTAACTAACACAAGTTATGTGCAGTGTTTTTCTACTCCTGTTTGAAATAGCCTTTTCCTTCAAAACTTTTATAACATCTGATTCCAAATTCAAGTTATTGAAGTTCTTTGCTTGGTTCTGCAGAATGCCATGATCGGGAACGGGCTGGTCCTTCAGAACCTCCTGCACATGCAGCTGGCCCAGCAGCAGCTCCTCCACATCAAAGACAAGCGCCTGAGCTCTGTACGTAGTCATATTAATACATGTTCTTTTCTAAAGACACTGTGTCTCTGTGCGCACAAACACATGCTCCTGTGGACATTTGCATATATTACTCAAGGTCCCCACGTCCAACCTTTGACTGCATCTTCTGCTTAATGAAGCCAAACTCCTGGAATCATGCAAGTTAATTACTGTCTCTGTCTGTAAGCGGAGACCCCGAGGTGAAACAAACTGTGCTTATTCCATTTGAATACAGTACTTTCATTTTAAATAAATGAAATAAATGTTTTCATATAAATTCACAATAATCAGATACCACTTTTAACTGACTAACAAGGCTGGACAGTAAAAAAAGTGAAATACGGATGTCTTTAAATGCTAATAATAATTAAAAATATATATATATATTTGTGAGTTTTACAATAGTGTGGAACCTTCCAGGCCAATCCAAAACATTCAGAGAATATAGTGGAAGAAAGCTTCCACCATGAGTTACACGGGGTTTCTTTAAATGTTGTGGATATGAATATTTATATACAGTATGTTTTGTGTACTTTTGTCATCAATCATGTTTAAACATATTTGAGTGTTAACATAAAATATGTTTTCAAATGTTAAGCATTTTTGTGTTTTTGAGTGGATTGCCCCAGTATTCATAACCACATGTGTGTGCTCAGGTCTCCAGTCTTCTGGGGGACCCCTCCAAGCTTCTAATACAGAAAGCCCTGTCTCTGCGGCCTCCGGGGCTGCTGCCTCTGGGGAAAGGCCTCCTGGGAGACTCCCCCTTAGGTGAGACGCAGAGCTGCTTAAACATCAAAGCTCTCCTGTTGTTTAAAGCACCATTCACCTGGGAAATTAGGCTTTCCATCCATTCAAAAATGTTCCAGCATTCAGTTCATACATTTTAGCCTTTACTTTGTCTGATCCGAGGAGTCAGGGGTTTGGGTCCTCACTCCAGGGGTCTGCATTACTCTAGTCCTTTACAAACAACGCACATGGACACTCCCCACAGAATCTCCAGCTGCATCTTACACAGACGTTTCTGTGCAAACATGCCTCGAATCAGGGTTTGATTAGCGTACAAAAAGGTCTGTAGAGAGTCCGTTATAATGCCGTTATACAGTAAATTTAAAATCAGTTCTGTAATGACCTGTGCCTTACTTCTTTGTAAACCATGCTCTTGTGGTTCAATCATTTACAGCGACATTGCACACTGTTCCTTCACAATTTTGAAGTACAGCTCGCGCAGAACATTGCGAGGCTTGCTTCTCTTGGGCACCTGTTGTAACAGATTGGGCCGTACCCTCTGTGCACGCCAAAGCACAGCGCACCGGCACTCACTTGGTTGGAGCCAAAATAACTGGAGCACAATCACTTTATCTGCACATGCAGCCAGCAGCTCCCATTCCGCTGCATCGCGCCACACTTTGCTTCGGCCATAGGAGCAAATCTGCTCGTCACAGTTCTCAGTCTTTTAGCATGCCTCTTTCCAGCGCGCCATATCTTCTGTGCTCAATGTTCAATTTCATCCACATTACAAAATCAATGGATAAAGTTGTAGTTGTGTGTAAAGGACAGGTTATTTTAATCTTTACATTCACTTTTGTTCACAGATAACCAGTCAAATCATTTTTGACCTTTTCTGAACAAAGTTTAAAAAGGATTTTTTCTGATGTCCATAAGTACTTCTTAATTACCAGACAGATTTGGCCTCTGACGAAGGCAGATACCTGACCACCAAACCACATGTCAGGTATTCAAGTAGTTCTAGCATCTTTAAACTTTCTAAGCCTTAAATATAATAGACTTATTATTCTTTACAGTATGTTTATGTTTAAATTTCGCTAGTTTTGGATCTCGGGCTCCTTTGTGATCATTTAGGACTTGTCTATACTGAGACTGTAGCTCAAGGCGTTTAGAAATGACTCTTTCAGTGTACCGTGGTGTCATCTGTCACTTCAATATTGGATGTGTTAACGGTGTGTATACTCACTTTTGCATATTCCACACTATATATTCACAAATGCATGTTTATTAAAGCCTGAACTGCATGAAATATTATGAGCTGGAAGAACCGCTCTGCTGTAAATAAACAAGGATGACAGATGATGTATGTGCATAGAGCTGTGAATGTACTCTAGCCCCAGAGATTCCAAAACCCAATCATGAATATTAAAGACAAGTATGATATATTGACTTATGTATAAGCATAAATGATTTTGTTTCTACTCACCGTTTTATTTATAGTGATGTGTGATAACTTTAAGGTTATGAGCCATAACTGCTATAGCTTTTGTTTGTGAGATTAAAGGTTGAGCGATGACACACACTTTAGTCTTCTGAAGGTGCACATCCTGTCCTGAGTGAACAAGTACTGAGTTCTTTAATATAACCCATGAATGGACTACTCTCACCCTTCTGTCCATGTTCAGAAAAAAAACTATCATTGTGGAATGTATTTATTTTCATAGTTCTCCTTGTGCTGGTTAAAAGGCAGAACCAGCAGATCCCTGTCCCTCAGAGCAGTTCTGAACTCCCCCAACCCTGCTCTCTGTAGAGACAGAGTAGAACCGGCTGAAGGCTTTCTTCTGTCCGCTAAAGCAGACATGGAAGGCTCTGTCTGGAAGCCTCTGGCAGTGATCTCTGCTCTTCCCTCGACGAACCTTCTCAAAGCGTGGACACTATCCACAGCTGCACCGGCTTCATCTCCACGCTGCACCCCGGGCTATGTCAGATTCTACCATTTCACTTCTCACACTTCACCAATGGTGCTCATGAGTCTGAGTGAGCATCAGAAAATATTCTGAATACATGTGTCACGGTATCCAAGATGTGTGAGTTTTAACATGCATGCTTTCCAATGCCCAGGACCTGGTCTGAATGGGGTTTATAGATAGATCAGTTATTTGTCATATACAATGTTAACAACATGGTCAATAACATGAACTGAGTAGTAACCAAGTTTTTTTCCTGTATTTTATTATTAGTATTAACAAAATGGAGTAGCACCTCTGGCCCCATGGAACTTGTGTTGTATTCTGCGATTGCTCTGACCTGTCGATCCTCCTCCTCAGAGCTGGGCCAAGAGGCTGTCCCTGTGTCGTGCCACAACAGCCCAGCTGGAACCATGCCTTACCCCCACACCAGAGCCTCCACAGGGGAGCAGCACAGCGGCCACCCCCTCTCCATGATCCCCACTGTGCCCACCTCCTCCTCATCATCAGGCTGCACCGAGCGACAGCTAGCGCCCCCAGGGACCATGGTGAGCACACCCGCACAATACATACTAAGAGAATATGATGAAGTACTTTGATTTATACTTTTTATTTGCACAGCATCATGCAGGTGACAAATCTCCTCCAACAAATGATTAATACATTAAACAGATTGGTTTCTGTAATTAAACTTACAGTATGATACTAATATGACACTCATTACATGCAAATTCAGATATATCAACCCTTTATTTGTTGATGATTTATTTTTATATTTTCTCACAGCTTATAATGACCCCAAATAAAACATCTGGACAGGTAAATGGACTGTAAGCCATCATCATTATAATAAACGCTTGGCATAGCATGCCACTTTGCATGGATTCTAAATCATAAATTGGTTTCAAAATTTGAGTTGAAATAGAGAAATAAATTAAATTTTGAATAATTTACAGAGTTTCTACCTGTAGTAGTAGTAGTAGTAGTAGTTGTAGTAGTAGTAGTAGTTTATTTTTTCTTCGGCCAATATGTACACCCGACCTCGGGTCACACGGCTACAGAGATCACATTTACTTTTTACAACAAGAAAATTAAAAAAATTAAAAAAGAAACAAAATGTGTCCATAAAGGACCTTGTGCGAAACAATACTTGACCGGTTTAGGCTGAAGTCGAAACTTATACTGCCTAACTCCTATTACAATGTGAAAATACGTCCAAAGATGACAAATTATACAGTTTCTCATATACCAACGATGGTAACATGAGGCACAAAACATTGAGCATAGTCCAATTCCATTGTCCTATACTTCTCCATAATATTTGACTTATACTTTTTTTGAATGTTTTAATAGTTCTTGAGCCCTTAAGTTGAACAGATAGACTGTTCCATAGATCAACTCGTTTGACTGATACACATCTCCTCTTAGTATTACTCTGTGCTCTGGGTTTCTGAAGCAGATCAGTTACTCTGAGGCTGTAGCTACATTCTCTAGTATGAAACATCTTTTGTAAACAGTGAGGAAGCATGAAGTTGTGAGCCTTGTATAACACAGCTGCAGTGTAAACATCAACAAGATCATACAATTTTAGAATATTATGTCTAATAAATAGTGGATTTGTTGGAGCAAGGTATTCTGCATGACTGATCACTCTAATGGCTTTCTTTTGTAAGATAAAGATAGGTTTTATATTAGTTTTGTAGGTATTCCCCCATATTTCCACACAGTAGCTGAGGTATGGAAGGATGAGGGAATTGTACAGTATATATAAAGCATTTTGATTTACAGAAGTTTTTTATTTTACACAGTATAGCAATGAGTTTAGAATTTTTAGTCTTTACAGTATTAACATGCACTTTCCTGTTTAACTTATGATCAATATTGATTCCTAAAAATGTTGTTTCGTACACCCTTTCAATGTCTACCTCCCCAATACTGATTTGACATGGCGTCCACATTTCTTCACACACACACAACAGTAGAAATGCATATGTTTTCACTTAGCATTCAATGACAGATGAAGACTTATCTCTGGACATATTGTGGCTTTGGGGTCTCGTAGATCCGGATTATATTAAATGACAGGACAAGCAGGGGACAAAATTGTAGTTTAAAGTGGTTTATTCTGCCAAATCCAAGCAGTGTTCCCTTAATAAGTGCATCATCCTGGCAGAGACTCGCAGACCTTGGACAGAGTTAGACAATTATTGCTGCAGTTCGAATGTTTCTTCTAAACATGCACAAAAGTCGTCCAAGAATTGCTCACGATCTATAAACAAACACATGTAAGAACAAGTTTTAATCAGGGACTTCAGCAGTCCTTGCTTCTTTCACACTTTGTCCTGTTAGTGGAAATCTGAACGTGGTAGAAGAAGTCCAGAGACCATCTCCAGACATTTGTGCTCGGCTTGGTCAGGACTACAGGAAATGAATGACATTGACAACCATCTTATTTCCCCTGGACATGATGCCCTGCTCTGTTCTTTTCTTCTGGCTCCCCTTCTTCTGCCTTGTGTACACAGTGCACTTCTGTTCAGATCTCTTCATAATAGGTTAGTGCAGATTCATAATGTCGCTTGACTTCTTTTGGGAGCGAACTCAAGTCCCAAGCCTTTTAAATGGAGAGCAGCTGTAATTAAAGCCGCACTAATCTATCTCTGATTTATTAGAACATTGCAAAACTAACATTACGTTGCTATGAGAAAAGGTTTGTTCTGCAGAACAATGTGACAGGACATTGTTGTCGACATGTAACAGTGGGTCCTTTTTTGTAGGTCAACAATGGTCAGAGTTCATTATTAGGAGATCCACCCAAAGAAGTCCGACTTCCCTCCAATCCTTACCTGAACCTGGCCAGTGTGATGCCAAGTGTTGTGTTACAAGGTGAGCTTCATCATTTTCTTTCATTAAGCAAACACTGTTTGAACCATGAACCATGTAACAACGTCCAATGAACCATGTAACAACGTCATGGAAACTGGAGTTTTATTTTGATCCATACACACTAATATCAGGAACTGTCACACAAACAAAGAGAGACTTTCAAAAACAAAAGTATTGGCCCTATCTTTTTGTGAAAAGATATTCTTTACCCTCACAGTTGTGCCTACAGCCGGTAATTTTCTAATTTGGAAAAAAAAAAAACTTAATCTATTCCCTCTGGTAGTAAAGGGAGTTACAGGCCAATAGCACCTTTTACTCTTGAGACTCATTACACCAAATATTTTCTACTTAAGATATGATTTCACTTTCTAAAACCTGAAACAACAAAGTCATCAGTCTCATCACTTTCTTCAAAATAATAATGATTTACTCACTGATGAATTCAAGTTTGACCTCATAATTTGGTCCTTATTGACCCAGTTCCCTGCCCCTTTTTGTTGAATAAATCCCAGTCTCACAGTTATTGCTGTGGTGTATGTGCAGGGTCCTCGGGGGCTAAAGCGCAGGTCGGACAGGCTGCTACGTTGTACTCCGGACCCCCTATCGCCTCCCAGACCTCCAGCTCCTTCTCCCACAGTGTACCCACCACCAGCGCCCCCTACAGCACGGACACCGCTGTAGACTACAGCCAGTACAACCAGGCATACACACAGGTATTCACTTATACTCACAACTTCTCTTTCATGTTCTCTTCGGCGTGATGTGCTGCAGCTGCCTGTCCAAACAAAACCACCACACACTCTACTGCTTTGTTGGAGAACTCTGTAATGTCAAAAGATTTACCTCTATCCAGAGTTACTATGCAAAGCTTTCTCCAAAGATCCGCAAAGTGGTTCTAGGTTCTCTCGACTTTCCCACTTAGTCTGTTTTAAATAGACTTTCCAAAGCTCATTTAAAACCTGTGAGTTTCCCTTTCGCCGTTTCCCTTCACAATCAACAATTTATTTTAACACTCAGGAAACATTTTCATTTGTTTTTATTATCTATTTTACATTTGTGTTGCATTTTCACATAATACTGAACAAATCGCAGATGGCATGGACATATTTTATTAACATTAAAAACATGAATTATAGTAAAAATATTATGTATAAACTATGTTTGTAAGAAATATGTACTAATATCCTCTATTTTAATTGTGTGAGTTACATACAGTAACAAACAAACAAGACTTAGGACTGGGTTACCTAAACTTCAAACCACAAAAAAATAACTTTAACGCGTTAATTAAGATGAATTATAAAAAAAAAAAATAGCGCTTAAATTGTTTTTACGCATTTTCATCGTAATTATTTTTGCACCGCGGAGCGTTTCTCACTGGATGAGTTTTGACCATGTCCACACCGAATATTTCCCCCCCTCCGTTTATAAAATAATTTGCATCCACACATAACCGAACATCTGCGTTTTCAATCACATTCTTAACATTCCAAACATGTGCGTGATCTGACATCCTGCGTTGGGGAAAAACACAGAAGTGGGCGGAGCTTTGATGCTGACACCGGTACTTCTGTAGCGGCACTTTTACAATCACAGAAGACACTCAGGGTAAAGACATACTGTATGTTCACAAGCACTGACCCCCGTCCTCAGTTTAGCTCCTGTTTTGGTTGTTTTCGAGCGTGAGTCCCCGTGATCACTTTGCTGCTCTCTGATGTGGAGGATGTTCGCTGCTGCGAACAGTTTTTAAGACAGGAAGATCCATCCTTTTTCAGTGATCAGAGGTGATCAGGGCAAAGTGAAGATTTTTCAAAAATCTTCACTTTGCCCAGAGTTTTTTTATATATTCGTTTATGATGCGTTGTCATGTGGATGACAGGTGCAAACAAAGACAAATATCTGTGGTTTAGCAGATACCCGGCTACATGTGGACGGGCCTCAGACGGACCGATTGTACTGGAGCACCAACTAACGCGCATGAATTGGGATCAGACAGCAACAAACCACAGTGCCTCAGTGAACATGAACAAAGAAGCTGATGTGACCGTGTTGGTTGGCCCCATGGATGGGAAAAAAATTACTTCTCACTGTTTTCAGGTCAAATGATGATGATTAAAATGCAATTGATTGTGATTAATTTATTACAAAGCCTCTTATTAATTTGATGCATTTTTTTTAATTGAGTCTCAGCCCTAAATAAAACCAATGGGGAGGGGGTCCCGGCTCAAAATGGTCCATGAGCACGTGTGCTGACACGTTTGTAATCTGACTGATTGCCGGTGGGGGTGTACCCGGAAACAGAATTATCCAGTGCATTCTTACGACTAATTATATCTTCTTGAAAACGGCTTTACAGGATGGTCCAAAAGTCGGTTTGTCAATGCTGAGGGGAGTATATTTTCTTTGGCCCAGCCTAGTTTATCCGCTGTGGACTTTTGAATGCACTCATTAAATGAATGGGGCTCGTGTCGGCTAACACTTACGCATATGCGTTTTTCCCACATTTTCCTGTGGGAGATATTTCACATCACAGGAGACAAAAGTGATGACACATACGTTTCAACGGTGGAGATAGGCGTCACTACGTACGTTTTATTACAGTCTATGAATAAACCCATCGTCCCAGCTGGTAGCTCAAGCAGCTCAAGCAACAGTTCTATAACTAGTTTTCACGCACATGCTCTCAACCCAAAAGTGTCAAATAGTGACTCACAGGGCTCTTTTTTCACAAGTTTGGGAAAGATCCAATATTTCCTCATAAGATGAAGACGACATGTTGTGGTCAGATTTGTTCACAGGACTCAGGAATGTATTTTTGTTGTTTCTGATCTGTCCAAACCCCATGTACTGCACACGATGGAGAAACGGCTGTTCGCATATCTGCAGAGACGACTCATAATGAGAGGAAAGATGGTTGCCGCTCTGACAGAGTGAGCTGTAACTCTCCAGGCAGGAAGCACAGTGCAGTGGACATATTTGGACAGACACAGAGCAAAGACTGCTGCAGCTGTCTCCCCCTCAAACTGCACAAACCCCAGTGTCTCCAAAGGGTTTCCACTGGTGCTCAACAATTTAATTCAAAATATTGAATAGTGTTTATTTTTATTACAACATTGTGATTAGATTTGCGATCTTTTTATATAAAGTAAATGTAAAGATAATATGTTTCTCTCGTGTGATATTACAACATTCCAAAGAGCCTATTGTTCAAAATTGTGGTGGAGGGCAGCCTAAAAAATTATTCTTGGTAGCTATGGTTACTGTCGAAAGTCAGACTTCAAGTTTTCGCTCATTTAATTTATCTGTCATCCCTGGGCCAAGCCACAGGAAACAAAAACGGTCACTCTCCACATCCTCGTTATCAATACATATCAATAACAATCTAATTAAGTAAGTAAGTCATCTTTAATTACATACCGCTCTTCACAGACCAGAGTCACAAAGCGGTTTGCAATTATGTGCATTTGGGCATTTGTTTCTCACTCCACACAGAGATGGGAGCGGGGCCAGTACAGGAGGCGCATGCCAGACCTATTGTACATGTTTTAGTGTAGGGGAAACCGGAGTACACGGAGGAAACCTACGCAAACCTACGCAAACCTACGCAAACACATGGAGAACATGCAAACTCCACTCAGAAAGGCCCTGTTCCGACCGCGACCCAGGACCTTCTTGCTGAGAAGTGAGAGTGCTATCCACTCAGCCACCTTGCTGCCCAAGTATTATTTTCTCATAAAGGTGTCTAGGTGTGATATTCAAAAACATATGCATGATGTTGGCCAGTTGTAAGGATTTTAAGAATAATGTGGGTGGTTTGTGAATTCAATCTCTATCAAATAATTATCTGGAAAAACAATTTCTCTTTCTTTCTTGAAAAAAGAAAAAAAAACCTGAAATGACCCTAACCTAATGGTTATAGCTAGAAATAATGTTTTTTTTACTGACTTCAAACATTGTCATGATACTACATACTACATTATTATTGAAATGAGTCCTCCCTGTTAAATATTAGGTTTGCTTATTTTTAGTTTTTTGTTATATTTTCTTGTTTTCTCCTCTCTTGTCCTTATTGCATTGGCGTCATTTCTCCTTTATCTGTGTCATTCGGAGCTCCCCGCGGCAGTAAGTGGCATATCTGATACATGCAGCAGGATCCAAAACCCAATTTAAAATTTTGATTGCAGTCTAATTCCCCCAAACAAATGAGTCATGATTAGATGAGCAATAAAACAGCAAGTTTAATTTGTTCGGGAAACAAGATTTGTCAGCAGGAAAAGGAGAGGAGAACAGGTTAATATTGGGCAATGGCAAAGTGATATTTGAATCAGAATGGAGTCGTGCAGATTAGTGTGCTCTCCCAGGGCCCAGGATTGGTCTGGAGCTGTCTGTAGAACTCAGATTGCAAAATGGGGACAAGTTCTGAAATGTGCTAAATAGTTAATCTTCTAATTTTTTAAGTAGTGTTGCTTCCTTCTAAACATTATAGACATTTTTCTCCATTAGAAGGAGAAAGGAGGGTCATTTGAAGTGCTACCAGTAGTATCACTGTGGTAACCGTGGTAACTGTAGTATTTAGCAGTAATGTACCACATTGTGTCCACTGATAATTAACTTTATCTGCTATTCATGCTCTGTCCTTATATTGTCCTTACTGTTCGTAATGTGTTCTGCAAGAATGGAATTTCCCTCATTGGGAAGAAAACAGTTTATCTTCTCCTACTTTTTTTAAATTGACATTTGCAAATCATAATTTACGACATAAATGCAAATGTACTCAATCAAGATGAATACTGCTTTCTTAAGTCACTAATACACTTTTACAATTGTTTCTTGAGTATGGTAGATAATGAAAATAAAATAAATTGTGATTTTCAATTATATTTCTAGCAACATTTGTGAATAATTGTATAACTATTGTTTTATCACAAAAATGTTAACATTGAAATTGTTGCATCCATAACAATATAGTTGCACACAGCATATACTGTATGTGGTGATTTAGTTGATATGCCATTATTCATTTAATTAAAGATTGTATTGGTGATTTGGTAACAAAGCTGTGTGTTGCGAACAGGAGGCCATGCATCAGTGGTACCAGCACTATCAGGCTGCAGCTCAGACCCACACCTACACCACGGCCCCTCCAGACGCTGCGGCTGTGGACCACACTCAGGTCTCTCTCCCACTGATTTTTATAAACCACGTCATGATCAAACCATAAACTAAATGTGTCTTTTCCTTCAGGCTCCACCGGTGACCACCTATGCCGACTATAACTCCTACTTGCAGGCAGTGACTCAGTATTACTCCCAACCTGCCACGGCCACCCAGGCCTACGCCACCAAGGTAAGTGACAGGAGCGGTTTGGCTTTCCAAACAGCCCCTCAGTGACATGACGAGTGCTTTAACAAGAAGGTCAAGTTGAGTTACTGCAGCAGGAAGTCTCCGTCACTGAGGACAGCTGCCGGGGGTTATGGGAAACATGACAAGATTCAAGATTCAATTCATTGTCATTGTCACAGAAAGTAATGAAATCAAGTTTATCAACAACACTGCATAGTTTGGTGTAAAGTGCATAAACAATTCATTTATTCATAAAATACTATACCTCATCTCTACCAACTTAAGTACGTTTTGTACGTAATACAATTCATTTTCTATTGCTTCACTACGAGAGAGCAGGCATCTGCACTAAGTAATAATACTTTATGGTTAAATAACCACAGTATATTTTGTAATTTGAATTACCTCATCAGGTCATCAGTAATGACCGCAAGACCTGCATTTGTATTTCTGTGGTGACCACACAGCTGAAAGAATTGAACATAAAACTGTTTCAAATCTGAGTGAATGGGAGTGAATTGTCTTAGTTGTCAAAGCAGTTACATAGATGATTCAATTCCATTTATTTTAAAATACTAATTTTTCCGATACTTGGCAGCTCATTTTTGGAGTTCGATGCTTTAATATTTTTCTTATTATTCCCCTAAAATACTGTGACTTGTTACTCCTAAAGTACTTCTTGGATGGGCTCCCTCAATCTCTGTTGTGATTAGTGTTAATCACAGGTAGGAGTTGTCCCAGAGCTAGTTAGCCTGTCTTTGAATCTTAATATTTGTGTTATAATCCTATGGAAAAAAGAATAGGGATTTTAGCTCCAGAACTGGTGACTGCTCAGAGGCTGCTCCATGAACTTTGCTTTAACTCTTAATAGGCCATGACACCATAACTGCAAAAGGTTATGTGAAAGATTAGATCTCTCCAAAATGCTGGACATTGTTGCAAATACATCAAATCAGTCGAGAAGATTAAGTGAACAGGAAATCTGCCGCTTTGGTGTAAAGTATATGAGTGCAGTGGTATGTATAAGTGTAGGAGCTGACCTCTCCTTAAGACACTGATACTGTGTTTAGAGGGATCACATCACTCCACACCCAGCAGCTGATGGCACCCGTCTCCACGTGCCCCAGGCCTCGTACACCCCCTCTGAACTGGACCATGCACTGCCTTTGAGCTTGAAGAAAAGTGTGGCAGTTTGTAATACTGTATATTAAATCAGGAAAATAACATTCAAGCTAGATAGATGGATAGATAGATACTTTATTGATCCCCTGTAGGAGAAATGCATGTGTCTAGCAGCAGAAACGCACTTTCTAACTCAATACATAACTAACTAGTTCTCTTTTTTATGTACATTTTATTTATTTTTCAACATGCGATATACTGTATTATATTGTATATTTTCATTTACCTATGGACCGTATTGTATTGTGTCCTTTATACGGATGAATAATGATAATAACTAACAAACATTTTGCACATGTTCAACTCAGATCTCTTAAAACGTTCCGTTCGGCAGTGGAGTGATAGAGACCTGTTACTACGGTTACCCCTCTGAGTGGCCATGTTGTCATGCATAGTCACTTTTTAATTCAATTTTACATAATATATCTTGCACAAATGAGATTGTTTCACCTCTTAACACACCCTGAGTGATCCTATTTGTAAATTTGAGATGAATAAAGTCTATCTTATCTTATGCAGAGGGTGTCTGGCTGGAGTTAGCTGTATTGTCTTTCGAAATCAGATGTCCTTCCTGTCACATTTTAACCACATGGGCTACTGTTTAAACATCGGCACTTGAAGTACTTAGCTCATGTTTGTGTCCAGGAGGTGGACGTGTGCAAACCAATGGGCGTGTCACTCCATGCGGTGAGTAACGGCACTGGCCCTCCCCCGGCGGTCCTGCCTGCCGCCGCGGTGCTCCCGGCCTACAGCGCACTGCCCCTGGTGCCCAGCTTCCTGGGACCCCCCCACCACCACGCCGCCCCGCCCGCCCAGGTGGCTCACACTGCTGCCCCAGACTGGAGCTCCTACTACTATGTGAGTTTACAATATGTTTACATGGAACCTCACTCACCGTCTTTGTCCAAAGTCCAACCTCCAGGGTGATTATGAAATCTTTAAAGATGAGTTGGGTAATTTTAACCCGGTTCTACGTAGAACAAGAGAAACATACTTTTCTGACACTATTGAAGGTTGCTGTAACAATCTTTGTGTTCTTTTTTCGGCAGTTAATAGATTAACGAACCCCACTGTTAAGTTGCCCTTAGAACTTACCTCCAAATCTAAGTGTAATGAGTTTGCACAGTTTTTCAATGGCAAGTACAAGGAATCAAAAACACTATCACCTCCACAGCACGTATAACAATGCAACATTCAGCAAGGCATTTTGAGCTAACTCACTTTGCACATGTGGATACTGAAACTGTCAAATAGATAATCACAAGTCTGAGTTCCTCCACATGTAGCCTGGATATATTACCTTCTAGATTTCTGAAGTCCGTCCTGAGCAGTTTGTTGCCTTCACTGACACAAATAATAAACATGTCTCTTTTATCTGGAACATTTCCAATGGCTCTGAAAACAGCAGTCATAAGAACTCTACTAAAAAAGAGCAATTTGGAAGGTTAGAGAAGGTTAGAAATTTAGGAGTAATACTGGACTCAGACCTAAATTTCAATAGCCACATAAAATCAATAACATCATCAGCTATTTACCATCTGTTAGAAACATAGCAGACCTGGAGATTCTTATCCATGCATTTGTCTCCAGTAGGTTAGACTACTGCAATGGCCTGCTCACAGGTCTCTCCAAACAGGCTGTAAAACAGCTGCAGTACATTCAAAATGCAGCAGCTCGAGTCCTGACTAGAACCAGGAAGTACGACCACATTAGTCCAGTCCTCAGGTCTCTGCACTGGCTTCCTGTGGCTCAGAGAATAGACTTTAAAACAGCTCTGCTTGTGTACAAGTCTCTCCATGGCCTCGCACCAAAATACATTAGTGACATGTTAGTCCCGTATGAACCGACTCTGAGGAGCACAGAGACTGGCCTCTTGCTGGTGCCCAGAGTGAGAATTAAACATGGGGAGGCTGCATTTCAGATTTATGCAGCTAAAATCTGGAACATCCATCCATCCATCCATTTTCTACCCCCTTGGGTAGGGGGGTGGCAATCAGAGATGCCACCCAAGTCTCATAGCACCAGCCCCTCACTGACCCTCTGCAGGTGGTGAGTCCACAGGAGGACGGCTGCTCTCTGACTGTGAGCATAGCCCTGATCTTTCAGTGGGGGCTTTGGGCAAAGTGGGGTTAAGTGTCTTGCCCATCAGTGGGAGTCGGTGGAGAAGGTGCAGAGGCGGGAACTGAACCCACGACCTTCTGGCCTTAAGGCCAATGCTCTACCAACTGAGCTACTGTCGCTCCTAAATCTGGAACAGTCTCCCTGAAAATGTGAGAGAGGCGTCTACTCTGACAATGTTCAAATCCAGGCTAAAGACTGTTCTGTTGCATACAACTGAAGGATTTGATCTCTATTTTTTAATGCACTGTGGTTTTAATTATTTATTTTTTAATTCCTTGTGTAATTTTAAAGTTTTAATGGTTTTAATTTCTTGTGTGATTTAAATGTTTTTATTGTGATTCTGGTGTTTGTTTTATGTGATGATTTGTGCCTTGGGTGATGTGGACTGTGAAGTGCTTTGTGTTGCCCTGTGTATGAAAGGCGCTCTACAAATAAACTTTGATTGATTGATACACAAGGCAACTCAAAGTGCTGAACAAAACAAGATAAAGACAGTCATACGAGGCATTCAAATCATAAATAATCACAGTACATTAAAAAGAGAGAAGATAAAATCCCTCAGTTGTGTGCACTGCTAAACAGAACTGATTTTAACCTTGAGTTGCGAATTGTCAGCCTTGTATCAATATGTTCAACAAGTTTACTGGATATTTCACCACATGGCTTATGTACGAAGAAAATCCTTTATTATTTTATGTCTTTGATTCAAGATTCAAGAATGTATTTGCCATTTGCAGTATAACCACATTGGAGAAACTGTGCAAGACTACCCCAGTGTGCACCAGAAGATAGCACACTGCGGAGCTCTTGCCACTGCGCCATATTTCAGGCACCATGCGACAAATACTTAACAGCAGAGATCTAAACATACATTTATTTCACACTGACGTTGTTTGTCACATACGGAAAACACTTGATCTTTTTGATTGGACATTACTCTGGCCAGCCCTGCCCAATGTGGTGTGTCAGACTGTGTCCATCACAGTCTGTATTTTTCTTGTGTCTCGTGGCTTTGTGTTATTCTGCTAAAGGTGTATTCTTGATCAGCAGTGTCACCTGTGCTGTGGTCCTTGCTGTGCTGTGGTCACTGCTGTCTTCTGCAGAGACGTCTTCTCTGGACATCAGGCAGATGAAAGAAGGATGTGTGGAATATTTTTGTCTCATGCTTCTGGAATTCTGGCTCATGTAACAAAGGATAGCTGCTGCTTCAGTTTTACACACACACAGACTACTGTCCTTTTACACTATGTACACAGAAGCTGCGTGGGGCTCTCTGTCCAGATCCTACACATTTAACCTCTCACGTCTCTCATGGTGAACGACGAGTCACAAAAGTTAATGTTTTGGATACTAAAAGTTAATGTTTTTCAAATCAGCATTAATGCAAAGTAGATTGAGTTATGATAATCTAAATTTGGCTCAGCTAAGGCTAGTTCACCATTCTATTGACTCAATTTCTTATGGCAGCCTAATAAGTAGATGTGCATTTAATTTTACAAAAACTTAGTTCTCCGGAGGGACCCCTGATCTAAAGTCTTACTCACATAAGTCATGTATGGCTGGACAACTGTAAAACAATCTGGAAAGGATTTCACAGGCACAAATTGCTTTAACTTCATTCATTGATTAGTTTGTTTGGCACCCTAGGCCCTGGCTGCAGCACTTTGTCTGAAGATCTTTCCTTGTGTGCCGCTTATAATCCCTCAGGACCTAAGTACAGGTGATGGCGTAAGTCTTGGGTACTGGTGGTGGCGTAACGGGGAATTTACACAGTAGGCGTAAACAGCACGCTCTCTGCGCGTAACATTTTTTGGAGTATCTACACCGGCCGTGCGCGCAGGTCCGCGTCTTCTGATGGTCTCCCTGTGTAGTCTATGGAGCAGTGTAGAGGACAGTACGGGCCAGAGGACTGATGTAGAGCAACACAAATCACATGCATGTGTTTGTCCTCATGGTCTCTGTGCGCTGGTTTGGCCAGACGTGAGACTTTATGAAAGAAAAAAAACAATGTCCAGAATCACTGTAAAACCTGCTGCTCCTCCTGCTGATGTTTAGATACAAGTGCTGTGTGTGTGTAGATGTGATCTAGAGCCAAGGACCGCTAGAAAAATCATGTTTTACATGAGATTTCAATGGGAGACGCATTGGTGCGCGCACAAAATTAGAAATCCATCTTAAATTAGAGCGCAGCTTCGCGTCATACGTCCGTCATACGCTCATATAACGCTAGAAGTGTAAATATCATCCTAGGTTAACATGGAAAAAAGTTACGCGCGTCTGCTGCGCGTATAACGCGTACGTGCTGTAACGCGTGATGTGTAAATTAGCAGTAAGACCTACTGTAGGTACTGGTGGTGGCGTAAGGGGGAAGTTATGATGAGAGCGTGCATGCGAAGATCAAGGAGGAAGAAGGGAGATGCTGTTTGCGAGCCATGAGTAGATTAAAGTGACGCCAGAACGAACTCCTTGCGAGGCTGGAAGTGTTTGCTTTTAAACTGCCAGCTTGATTGGCGTAGGTTGGCAGCACTTTGTGATTGGCCGAGGGTGAAAGGGGCCGGCCTGGATGGGCTGCAGCAGGTAACCTACCAGACTGAATTTCCGCCTGCATTTGTACTCACCCTATATAATCGTGCTTTCCATCACCACCACTTAGTTCATGGTTTGCAGTATGTATGTTTCACCAAGGTTTTATCTGCCGTTGATTGGTTTAATCCCAGGAAAGTTCTCATTTAAGGTCTTCCTAGAATGATAGCCCGACATACTCAACAGGCCATTATAATGAACATTGGATTATAATTAAGGCCAAATCAGAATCAGACTATAACAGAACATCTTTAAAAGCACCACTCAACAGTCCATGCTCAATAATATGCATGATTTAAAAGTTCAGGGTCGATGGGCTGGAGATACTTAATGAAGTGTGTTTAGGACAGAACAGCTCTGATCAAATGTGTCTAAAGTGTTTGAATGTATGAATGAAAGTTTATCTGAACATGGAATAAAAGCAACAGAGTAAGAACAACAAAACAAACAACAATGAATACTAGACAACAACAGTAGGAAGAAGCCAAAGCTTATTAAATCCCATCCCTTTCCTCTATGCTTATTCAATATATTGTAATAAGTTATAAAACAAATATCATACTATTATATAGATATACACACATAGACACATACCTACACATACATACAGTATTTATGCACACACAAGAATACACATACACACATACTCACAGTAAGCCATAAAAGAACAAAAATAAAAGAAATTGGAACGGCAACAGGGGCGACAGTGGTTCAGTTGGTAGAGCATTGGCCTCTCAGCAAGAAGGTCCTGGGTTCGAATCCCGGTCGGACCAGGGCCTTTCTGAGTGGAGTTTGCATGTTCTCCCTGTGTCTGCGTAGGTTTCCTCCGGGTACTCCGGTTTCCCCTACCACTAAAAATATGTCCAATAGTTCTGGCATGCGCCTCCTGTACTGACCGACCCAGAAATGAATTGAGGGGAAGAAAATGGATGGATGGATGGAAACGGCAACAATAATAGTAGCAGCATTGTGTAGCACTGAGTTTCATTTCGTTTCATCCCTGTATCTTATAAAAACATGCTCTTTATATTTTACTTTGAACATTGTTTTAATTCTTCACACAACCTGTTCCATATTTGTACTCCGCTGAATGAAATGCAAAATCTCTTCTTACTAGTTTGTATTCTGATGACTTTGAAGTTATGTAATCCCCATCTCGACCATTAAAGATGATTTTTATATAATTTGGTAGTAGGTTATTAGCTGTTTTGTGCACTATTTGTGCTGTTTGGAATTTAAATGAGCTATACCCGTTTCTGCAAGGTTTGAATGTTTAGCACCGCCTCCCAACTCGCTCAGAGGCTTCTCATTTCCCCTACGCTCTCATCCGACAGAGACATCTAGTTTTATTTGCGATCTGATACAAACATTAGCATGAGCGCAACTTTAGTTCCCTCTTCTCTTCCTCACTGTTGTGTCGTTTGGGCTGTTTTGCTGTGTCTGCAGTTACAGCAAGAGGAGTTATAGGCAATTCTGCTAACATGCTACTGTGTTTAGCAGCGCTGTAGAGGCTAGAGGACGCAGCCTCGTTCTGTGATTGGAGGAGAGCGGGCGTCACGCTAAGTTTCTACACAGCGCTTTTTATGGCCTGAATTCATACACAGCTGAATCAATGAGCTCAAGTTTTCAATTAAATTACGTATTTTAACACAACTTGTATGTAGTAATAAGCATTTTTATGAACTCATTAGAAAATTATTCGGGTATGGCTTCTTTAACTGAGTTTTTACAGTTTTTACTGTAAGAAAAGTGAGTATGATCCAAATATCTTGCATTATGTATTATCTATTATACATACATGCAGTTTGTGAAGTTTGGATCGACGTGTATTGCCAAATTGTATAAAATTGTGAAAGCCCAATAAGCAGAATGTAAAAAAATATATATAATGTTGATAAATAAATGTGGGTTAAATAATGCTGCTAATCAAGTAATAAAATCATACCCAGAACTTTTATTCTTATAATTACCAATCTACCTACCTGCCTGTCTACCCCTTTATACCCATCTCCTACTTAGACACATACGCACCTAGCCTCTCGTTCTCCATGGACAAAAGGTCTGTAGATGAAAAACATGCTGAATAAATGGATCAAGCTCACTGATCAATGACAAAGCAAAGGGGGTGGTGTTTTTAAATCCAAACCCGAGGCGCACAGTGGCAGCGTCACACTTGGGTCCTGAATGATCACTGCAGAAACTAATTAAAATGAGAAAGATAGGAACTCTTCATAGAAAGCTCACTAAAATATGATAATGTATGCTTAGTTCATTAAAACCTGGTATCTGTGGCTGAGGCCATGAGGTATATCAGAGTGTCACTGCAGATACAGTCACGTCACCTGTTCTGTTGAAGGTAGATTTTCAAATTGCAATGAAAGCAAATGAATTTAAATGTTTGATTAGGAAGAAAATAGATGCACTGTATACAGAAAGAAAAAAACTAATATTTTTACAATATGATGTATTGCTGTTATTTATCAAACTACTTTTCTTTGGCATTTCAGGTTTTAGAACTTGAAATGTTTGTGAAAATGTCACCTCAAAGAAATTCTGCTTCCTCTAACACACTGTCAACACTTCAGCTAGTGACAGTGGGAATAAAACATGAAAGAAAAAAAGAAAAAGTTAAAGATAGAAAGAAACTTACTGCGCAACTCATTAGATAAGATCCGATCCGATGCCTGCTCGTTGCCATGGAGATTTGATTGCTTTCCTTGGAAATTACTGCAAATAGTATACAACTGAATTGCAATGTAATTTAAAAAATCTTTTTACAACTCTAAAAACTTGTTTTCTTACGTTACCTTGCCTCTCCACAGATATGACCTCTGAAGTCTCTTGCAATTAATGCAATTTGACTAATAGAACAGGCATGTAAAAGTACATTCTGAGGGAATTAGTTGTGTTGAAATTACCTTTAGTGGAATCTAATGGAGAAAAACACATGTCTAGTTACATCTGTATCGTAAATGTCTCCATTGTGAGATCAATTAAGTTTATCTTATCTTATCTTAATGTACTTTATAAATTCCTTCTGTAATGATTGTCCAAAAACATGTATTAGCATGTTGTCACGTCATTATATACTGTGTAGTCAAAATGTTTATTTATTAACATATGAATAATTAACTCCTTAAGCCCCGGCATATTGAGTTTCAGTGTTCCACCTATATCTCTTTTTGCAAAAAATATATTTCGGGACAAAATTTGAAGAGTTAATAGGGATATAGGGGTTGGAGCCAAACAAGCGTTTTCAAACTGAGTATAACTTGTCTGTGTCCTATTTATTTTTGTGTGTTGAATGTATGTACACAGGTTTGAGGAAAATCAAAAATAAAAATAGATCTTGTAAAATTAAGTCATAGTCCTGAAATGTACCTAAAACAATGTACCTGTAAAACATAAGAAGGCCAGAGAATCAATAATCCAAGGAATATCTGACTGGATACTTGAAGTCTTTAATGTGTGGACTGCATATTGGTGTAATATAATCATTGTGCAGGGTTGATATAGTCTGTCTGTGTCTTCTTCAACAGACTGAATCTGTCCCGTCCAATCGGAAACACAGGACAACACAAGCATGTCATCATAAGTAGATGTCTTAGGCAAACATTTGCAGTAAACAGTAGTCAAAAGGGAGAGCTCTTCTTGCATTTGTGGTCTAAGTTTGGATAACTGTTGACATATTATCAACAAGCAGAAATAAGAAATCCCAGAAATCAGAAAATCAAGCAGAAAACCACTGGAGCAATGCATTTTCTTGAAAAAAAGCATTCAGCATTTTACTCTGGACCAGAGCAGAGAAAATGGTCCGAATGCATTTTAATACTATGGTTAGCTACTATGGGGCGACAGTAGCTCAGTTGGTAGAGCATTGGCCTTCAGGCCTGAAGGTTGTGGGTTCAATTCCCACCTCGACACCTTCTCCACCGACTCCCACTGATGACTGCTGTCGTTGTGTCCTTGGGCAAGACACTTAACCCCACTTTGCCCAAAGCCCCCACTGAAAGATCAAGGCTATGCTCACACTCAGAGAGCAGCCGTCCTCCTGTGGACTCACCACCTGCAGAGGGTCAGTGAGGGGCTGGTGCTTTGAGACTTGGGTGGCATCTCTGACTGCCACCCCCCTGACCCAGAAATGGATTAAAGGGTAGAAAATGGATGGATGGATGGATAGCTACTTTTTGAGTTATGGAAGACAGGAAGAACTAAAATCACAACGCTCAAAGTACTCCCACTGTTGCTTCACGGCAACAGCAATCTGTCAAAACACACTCAGCTGCTCCATCCAAGCAGCAGCTTCCTTCACGCCGCAACCCTCCTCCTCCCCATCTCTGCCTCATTCCAGACCAGCTCCTTCATCTTTCTCCTACCTCCCATCACCAGGGCTTGGGCCCCGGTGGTGGTAATCTCTTTACCTGCTCTGCTGGGTCTAACCAAATCCCAACCACATTTCTGTTCAGCAACAATAAATGTAATCTTGAAAATATTGTCCTCATGTGTAATTTCTGTAGTGTCAGATTACTTGCCAACCAATATACAAGTCTAATACCCATGTTTTGTCTGTTTGAGTCTCTGCAGATTTAAATATGCAAATATCAAAGCCGAATAGACTTCCATGTGAATTGCTTTCTCCCCTTGATTGTGTGTAGACTGTTAAACCCTGCCGTTTGATTAACCATAACCCCATTCTCTGCGTCCCTAGAACCAGACCCGGGGGCACAAGCGGGAGTACCCCCAGCTGGCCGTGCAAGAGGTGGCCCCTTCAGACGGAGCGTACATCGGGCAACACTCCCAGGGCCTCGGTGGGCAGTACGCCGACTACTTCAAGAGGAAGAGGCTCTAATATATGAACCAAAACCACCACGAAGCCTGACGACGCGTGTCATACAGCTCCCTCTATAGTGGCCTTTCAGTGGCTGTCATGTTTGCATCCCAACAAGTAGGTGTGGAGTCATTGAATTGGGTTGCACATGGCTCAAGTGAATTACAAAGCCATAGTGCTCGTTAATATTGGCACTTAATGTAAATTGTTACTGTTGACTTTGTCCTGTTTAAGCCTTAAATCTTGAACTAAAATGTTTGTCTTTCAGTCGCGATGTCTGCTGTTTGCCTTTTTTGGTAATGTAATGTAATGTAATGTAAAGTAAGTTATATTGCTGTGTCTGTGTACATATGAAACTGTCATGTCCTGTTCCAGTTTGGTCTTACTATTCTGTCTTTTTCGGCTGCCTTCACACTACAATGGAATATAAAAAAATTAGTTCTTGTCTGGTCCAAAAATATTATCAAATACTTCCCCAGTTTATTTTTGAATGACTGGCCACTATAGAGATTTAAAGTCTAATAATATCTAGTCCAATGTATATTCGTGTACATAATTCTATCAAATGACAACAAATATTTATTCATATCTCTCCTTACGGCCACTCTTTTAACACATCCGACATGTCGCACTGTTCCATCCAGTGTGTATGCAGCCCTTTGTGTCAATGAAAAACAAGGCTTTGATTTGCGGCTGTCGTGTCTTAAATGTCTCCCTGTGCGCCTCTGATCGCACACCTTGTCTTTGGTATTTATTTATGTGTGTGTCTATGTGTGTAAATGTTTCCCTGTGTCTATGTGTAGGAAGTGTTAGCCATTTCAATCCCAAACACGGGAGCGCATCAGGAAAACAAGGCCCTGGATCAATCAAATCCCACAATAATACACAGTGTAACTTTTCTAGGGAAGGGAGGGGCTATCATTTGCTTATTTCCCCATAGACTGTATAGCAATGGACAGTGCTAACCTGTTAGCTTGATGAAGCCTAATAATACTGTAGGGAAATTTTCCTTCTACTTTCTTTGGTTACCATTCACTAAACATTGAAAAGTAAAGGACCCGTTGGTGTCACACTCACTATTTGGGTCTGAAAATGTGCGGTTTAGGGCACTACTGTTATTTTGATAATATCTATGTGAAAATAGATATGACCTCTATCAAACTGATCAATCAGACACCTTATGTCCCTGCTATTGGTTGTGGCTAGCAAATATCCTTAGGCCTCACATTTGATTGGCTCTTTTGTTGATGGGTTGTTGCTAGCCCCCAAATTGAGCTCAGTTGGAGCTAGCTCTAATGTTTTCTACCGTGCTATAGCAAACACTGCGGGTGATGTCAGCACTCAGTCTGTCCACTCCTTCTGCGGTCTATGGCAACCTCACTACATCACAAGGGGTTTTATGGTTATTTGAAAAGGAAGGCTGCCACCTGAAAAGTCACACAGTGAATGGGCACTGAGCGGGCTAGCTAACATAATGTTAGCCGGATCGTCAGTACTTCCTGTTTTTCTCAAATCCCTGTAAAACAAATACATTACCTAGTGACGCATTCCAGTCACCTGTGGTCTTCTTGGCCTTGCGCATAAGTACGCCACCGTGGTACCTCCATAGACCGAGACAAACTCTGAGCACTCTAACCAATCAGCGCTACCTGTAGAGGGCAGCACTGGGTCACGCTGAGCAGACGAGAATGGGCTGATCTTGTTGCACAAACCTGTAAATTTATAGAAAACTGAAGAAAAAAAGTAAGGAGTAAATTCCCCTCTGAACCTTATCGTTGAAAAGACTGTAGTCTTCCTCTCTGCTGAGGAGAGCCATATTTGATAGCACTGAAGTTTATCGGAACATTTCCTGTGTACTCCTGTGATGATTGTATTCTGCAGCACAGCAGGTGGTCCACCACCATGACACGACAGGCTTAAGCTAGCAATACCCTATCCAGATAATTCATGCATCCATGGTGTTGCTTTGTGTTTCAAATTAGATACCAAAGCTAATTTAGAACCGTATTCAACTGATGCCACAAAAAGTAATGTTTAAAATAACAGCTTTTTAGAAGTCTTCACTATGTTAGTTTATGTTTTTATGTTATGTCAGGAAGTGCTGACCCAACTGAGCTAGCAGCGTTCCATTGTTTTAGCTAGCCCATCCCGCTCACATCAGTTCCCTCAGTGGAGGTGTAACAGCGATGACTAAAGCCATGCAGAACAGACCTTATCTGTTTGAAGCCGTTGTTATTGTTCCACATGAATGTGTATTGTCTATTTTCCTTTTCTATCTTAAGCTGTTCTATAACGTATTTGTAATGTAATATTTTAACACTGCGCAGATGTATTCTCTCTCATCTGTAATTAGTTGGTTTGGCATTAATTATTGAAGCCAAATTGTGGGGCGCAGTTCAGAATGTAATGAAGCGTTTTCCTTTTTTAGAATCTTTTTTAATGATATAGACTCCAGGGTTTAATATCCGTCAAGACGTTTTGGTCAATATTGTTTCAACGGTGGCCTCTTTTGATTGTACTTCTTTTATGTTTCAACAATTAGGGTCTGTCTAATCTGCTTAAAGAAGAAGTAAGTGGTATGCGTAAAAAGATATTTTGCACCATAATCGAGAAACTATGGTGCAAAATATAAAATATGACTGTTTATTTGGGTTAGACCAGTCTTATCCAGTGTCAGTACAGGGTTGGCTGTGCAGTGGAGTTTACGTTTAATTCTTCAGAACAATCTGATTTTAAATAAATGATTGAATCATGTCAAATATCTGTTTTGATAGAAGTGGTATAGCGTGATGTGACCCAAAAACCATGAGTTTCTTAGAAATTGGTCCTCAAAAGAAATGAAGGCTTGTAGCCCTGGTCTATGGTGTGAAGCATAAACATTGATTAATCCATCAGTTTTATATAGGGCTTTTCACACTCAAAGATGCTTCATGTACTGTATCATCATTCATTCACTCCATACTCGGTGGGGATAAACTTCTATTGACTACAACTGCCCTGAGGCACATTGACAGAAGCGAGGCAACCGGTATGTCCCATCGCCCCACACACTAGACAATGGGGGTGAAGTGTCTTGCCTGAGGACACAACAATAGTTTGGCACTTTACAGCTGCATCGGCCCCACTGTGGCACCTGGTGTTCCCAGAGGTCTCCCATCACAATAATAACCAGGCCCTGCCCTGCACAGCTTCAGAGGTTTGACGAGAGTCCCTAGAAGGTGAATAATGTGGCCCTACAGTGTGCTGAACTGGATTGAACTGGCTTTACTCACAAAATGAAACAATCCCGTCTTTGTCGAATTTTTTTTTTTTTTTTATGGGTATATGTTTTTTGTTTTTATGGGTATATGTTTTTTGTTTTGAAAGATATTTTCTGACATTTTCTACCCATTCAAAAAGCTCAAGCCACTGCACAATATCTCCATGAAATTCCTCCTCATATTTCTCTTTGTATAATTCCCACTCAGAGATCATATATAAACTTAACCAACATTTGAACTGAATAAAAACACCCTTACTTCTCCTTTTACTCAGACACATTCTGTTTGTCCTGTGTTTGGAAGACGGCAATAACTCCCCCTGAAGAATGTCATACCTTTGATTCAAATCTTTTTTAATGACTTCACACCATGTTTGTTGTCGGCGCTTGTACCGGTTCTTTTTCATTGTGCTCAACTTGTATTTGCATCGCCATGGCAACCTATCTCCGACACTGTGAAACCCATGGACAGGTGAGAGAGAGCGCGTTTGTACGTTCGGCTTTGATAAGCTCTTTTGAAACATGTCCAGTCGTGGCTGCGTAAGAAAGAAAAAAGGTACTGACATTTGAATTGTGGAGCTAAAGCTGGGGTACCTAATTTTCAAACGACAAAAAATGAAATGCAAATATGTCACACATGAAACTTGTACCTCATTCTCAAAACAGTTTGATTTCATTGCTAGTTTTCTCGTAGTTTTTTTTGTTGAAAGACTGGTATTGAAGCATTTACAGCTAGCTAAGAAAAAAAGCTAATATTTATTTTATATATGCCCTCCTTGTGTGCTCTTATTACTGTCCTGTATGTGCGACGGATAAAGGATTATTATTATCTTATCTTATCTTTAGATCAGCCAATCAGATCTCAGCCCAAAGCGTCCAATAGTGACTCACACGGGTTTGTGCTAAAGATAACATGTTTTCTGATACAATGAAGCGTGTCATCATTGATTGTAGGGGGCGCCTGTAAGTTACTACTTTGAATGTGCAGAAAGAAGTTTCAATCGCGCATATACCTGCAGCTGCCCGATCTTGGCTTCACCCACAGCTACCACACACACCGGTGAATGAAGCACGCAGCTTATTTACGGAAGTATAGTTGGCGCGCGAGACCGTGGGAATTCGCGGAGCGCAACTAAAATACCGCAAAACTTTCTTCCGCCGCAGATAAATAAATAAATACATATTAACACGCATAGACGGCAAAAATGACCTGGCTTACAACAGGATGTTATGGTCTGATCTGTTCCCGATGTTTCACTATTAACAGAAATAGTGAGGCTGAAAAGTGAGGTACCCCAGCTTTAATTATTGCTATAATTGATGTGTAGTATATACAGAAACTGCAACCAGTTGTAATGTAGTTCCAGGAGTCATGTTCTGCCAAATCAATATTCAAAAACTCAAGAAATGCTCACTAAATACGTTGATAATTTAAAAAAAATCTTTATCCAATGGTTGCGTTTTGTGGAATAAGTGTTTTGTGATTGGATACAGTCTAATTGGAGATGTCCATGCGGCGTAATGGCACACACAAATACTGTACTCTCTTGAAGGTATGTAGAGGATTTTCTACTTCCAGGTGGATCCTCAAGACTATTGGTCCTGCTAATTGTCAATCATTCTGGTGATACGTGCTCATCATATAATAGGGCGGTTCTTTTCTAATATCAGGGAAAATCCTCCTATATCTTTTAGTTGAATGAAGGATTATATCAAAATGCATCCAGGCAGTCATGTTTTTGTAAGAAACGTCACATTGCAG